CTCACTCGCACTCGCTGGCCGAGCATAGGCGGGACACGGCTGATCGCGCCGCGCGGCTGAACATTTAACGCTGCTGCTCAGCCGCCGTTCAACCGACAGTGAAACCCGACATACCGGCGGATAGAGGAGGCTTCCGGGAAGTTTTTGGTGTAGTTGTCTTTTGACCGGCTTGGGGCCTGACCCGTACAGGACCATTTGTTTAAAAAAGCACAAACATGTCTCTCCCTAAAAATCAAGGGAAAAAAAATTCAGAGCTTTCAGTTTAGGGAGAAATTAGAAACGAACTTTTCTGTGGCGTAGGGGGGACCTTCCTTCAGGCCGTACGGGGGGTCATTTTTTTAGTTTCCCATTTTGAACATAAGTTTTGCCACTTTGAACACTAGCATGTCGCAAAATCGGTTTTTTGCCCATAACTCATACAAAAAAAATCGCATGGCGGTAAACTTAATTCAGGTTGTGCATCTCCATAGTATTGTATTGTGAAATGAATTTTACCGCAATCGGACCACTTTCACCTTTCACCCCCGTTTTCCGGCCGAGCGGGGCCTGTGTTAATCCTTATGGGACGATTCGCCCGGCCCGCACTCCAGGTCGCGTTGCTCCGAGACTATTAGAGGCAGAGCGATGATTGAGGCGGCGTTAGAAAGCCAAGACATTAGGCTACAACGTTTACTTGAAACATTTTCAAGATTTCTAGCGAGATCACTTAGAAAAAAAATATTTTTTGAGAAACTTTTTTGGGGGATTTCAGAAAAATGTTAACAGTGTAGCGGTTTGAACTTTTTCGAACAATCTTTTGTATACAAGTTGTTCGCTGGTCCCTCGCGGTCATTTTGAGCACTCGCGCAGCTACCTACGACCAATACAACCGGAAAAATAAGCGGAAAACTGCGGAGCTGCACTTACGCCCTTCCCGTTCAAAAAAAGGGTGTTCCGGGCCGAATTTGATTAACAACTTTATTTAGCGTGTTCCTGGCATAGCATTCTACCAGAATCTGCAAAAAAACTTCTTGGATCAATTTTTCGGTACCGAAATATTTGGATGACTGGACTACAGCTGTGCGACATGCACTGCGCCTCGCATTTCAGTGCATGCCATCTTCGCCGGCCACGGCGTGACCTATTCTATTGTCCTTAGCGCCACACGCATTCTGCAGCGGCGGGCCCGGCGCGTTTGGTGCAAGATGATCAGTTTGCAATTATTAGCGATAATAGTTTCACTGCAAGACGAACAGTTCCCAGTTCGCGGTTTAAGCTACCGCAAAATGTTGCTCGCCCAGCGTTAATCGTAGTTTCCGCGTTTTAGCATGTGCAAGCCAAGCAGTTGGCGGTTTAAGCTCAAGCAAAATGTTGTTTGCCCAGCGTTGATCGCAGTTTCCACGCTCTGATCAAAAGAATGAGTTCAAAAGTATGAGTTCAAAAGCATGGGTTCAAAAGCATGACATCAAATGTATATCGTCAAAAGTGGCCTGTCTCTCCGTTTACGCGTGCGTTAACGTTTTTAAGAAATATCTAATATTCTTGTCCGTGTCATTTATCGATTCTAGTTTGAACTGCGATTTAAGCTCTGAAATGAGTGAGTGAATATTTCATCGTCTTATGAGGACTGCGTTATCCATTTATTTGAGGCAGCTTCTGTTTGAGGTTATAGGTATGTATTCCAGTATTGAAGTGTTAAGTGCTTCTATTGGTGTGGCTCTGCTGTTATTGAATTCGATGATTGAGATCGTTTGAACAGATTGCTTCATTTCTCAAGTCACTAATGTTCCACCCCAACCTAACCCTAGTGAATGTTCCAGTCATAATAATGTGTACACAATTTCCAACAGTCTAGTACGTTGGCACAGATTTGGATGTCTTCTTCCATACGATGATTGAGATATTGCCTGAAGTTATGTTTTCTTCAGTCGAATTTAACACAACTAAAATATAGTGTCTCCTGACGTATTCCTTACATATTCACACTCAACTGCATTGCGCATTGCAACGGCATTTTAAAATTCTGTTTATAATAATTGTTTCTGTTTCAAGCAGTGTATAATCTCTCGAGGGCACAGGTGACACAGTCTGCCTCTGCTGTGTATTGCAATCTTGGCAGACATTTTTGGTGCGGAAAGAGAAGGTAGAGGTGACGGCGACGACTTTCCCCCCGGAGCAGAAGCAGGTGTTTGAGGACAGGAGGCGCAAATCCCTCCCTCTCCCCTCCCCTCTCCCCGCCCCGCTCGGGCCGCCGCCGCAGCAGCATTCATCCAGCCGTGTTAATAACCCCCCCTCACAGCACTAAAATCACGAACAGGTCAGCACTGTCGCAGTGTCGCAGCCTAATAAACCCGAGGGTACCGGATGTCGGGGGAGTCAGCCGGCCGACCGAGTGCCTTCCCAGGGCCACAAGGACGGCCGCGCGGCCCACCCCTGGCACCACGGCCGCTAGGGTACCTGTATCTCTCCCACAGTTTTGCAGGTTCATCAATCTCTCTTACAGCCCAAACCTCTCTCGCTGTACTCGTCGTCGAAACACCAAGCACGCTGCCTTGCCTCAGCAAGCACCCATGAAGACAAGCACAAGGTACCAGCACTCGACGGTCTCCCAGCGTGCAGCCCTCGTGCAGCGCGGCCAGACGCAGACACCCCCACTCCCCCGCCTCCCCTCCGCCCCGAAGGACCAGACGCAGTGCAACATGACACGCCCGCGCACGCATAGGGCATAGGCCGAAGTGGGTCGTAAACATGCCCGACGTAACATTTGGACCACGCCCGACCATCCGCCCCTTTTCGAAGAAATGTAGCCCACCTACCCAGCTGCTACACCCCGCGACCAAGCCGCGGCTGCCCAAGTCATCACTGCTGAAACCACCGACGATCAAGCCACCGCCGAACACGCCGTCGCCCAACGATCAAGCCGTCGCCCGCTGATCAAGCTCTCGCCAACCAAGCCGCCGCCGTTCAAGTCGTCGCCCGCCGATCAAGCTCTCGCTATTCAAGCCGCCGCTGTCCAAGCCACCGCTGCTCAAGCCGCCGCCGTTCAAGCCGTCGCACAACAATCAAGCCGTCGGTGTGCAAGTTACCACCGACCAAGTCGTCGCTGATCAAGCCGCCGCCGTTCAAGCCGTCGCCCGCCGATCAAGCTCTCGCTATTCAAGCCGCCGCTGTCCAAGCCACCGCTGCTCAAGCCGCCGCTGTTCAAGCCGCCGCCGCTGTTCAAGCCGCCGCCGCTGTTCAACCGCCGCCGCCCAAACCGCCGCCCGCCGATCAAGCCCTCGCTGTTCAAGCCGCCGCTGTCCGAGCCACCACTGCTCAAGTCGCCGCTGTTCAAGCCGCCGCCGCTCAAGCTGCAACGAGAGAGGCAACGTGGGAACTGCAGACACCGGAGGGGTGGCGGGCCGCGGAGTCCTCACCCACCCGTCACCCAGCAAGACTCCGGGCTACGAAGGACCAACATGCGCCGCGGCTACGCCGCGACGCCCACCAGAACCATCACTCATCCGCGTTTAGATAGGGCCGGTGTCCTGCCACCCCGCGGAGGGCAGCTGGGGGGCTGCCCCTCCTCGGGCTGGGGATGCTCGCAAGTAGCGGGGCTCACACGAGTCAACGCGAATGCCTATAGGTCTAATGAGACCTCGGCTTAAAAGACCAAGACCTCACACCAGGCCGTGCGGTGGCAGCGGGTGGCGGCCCGGGCTGCCACACGGCTACCCACGGGCCCTGCGGAGGAACTATTGGGCTGTGCTGCTCATGCGCTGCTCATACTTGTACGTTGAACATATTTGCACGTTTGCAACGGGTAAAGCCAGACCACAGGGGCCTGTCTAAAAACACTTGTTTTGAAAAACACAAACACCAACAAACACGTTCGATTGAGTTTTCCTTCCACAACAAGGCGACCGTCGCGTCGAGATGCCGCCCATTCGGTACGTAGGTATGAGAAATTGCCGAAGCGTCATTTCGCGCGCTTTGAGGATAGGAACAAAAGCGAATTTCATTAAACTTTCGCAACCCGATATTCTGTATTTCTCAAGTAATTTTGACTCTCGTGACATTCGTTGGCGGGCTGGGTAGAGCAGAGCACGGCAATGGGCATAGACGAGACGACGGCCCGCCTCCTAACCTCCCCGCACAGCGCGCGCCAACCGCCAACTCGTACAAACCTACGAACCTCCAGGCCAAAGGGCCCAACTCCATCCATCGTGTCGGAGGGGCGGGCGGCCGAGCTGTTTCACCTCCTCGATCGCCTGACCGATTGCCCTTTTAGACGGGGCCGGCCGGGAGCTGTGCTGCGGGGGCTGCGGGGCAAGACAATGAAACCGTGCCATTAGGCCAGCGACTGACTGGGGGAGGGTGGAGGGAGGGTGGGGGTGCTGCTCCGTCGCCGAGCCGGCCGGTTCATGGCGACGACTTTTCGGCAGTGTAGGGCACGACTCTACTCTCCGGTACGAACTGCCAACACATGGCCTACGATGCCGCCCCCCCCGGGGTGAGCGAGCGGCCCCCTGGGCGGCGATGGAAGAGAGAGGGAAAGATGGAAGAGCGGAGAGGAGAGGAGCGGGAGGCGAATGGGAGAGACAGCGGCGGGGGTCGCAGCGGGGAGGGAGAGAGGGAGGGGCGCGAGACACCCCGGACAGGAGGGGCGTCGCCGCACGTCAGCGTCAGCACAAGGGTGCAGCCTTTCCTACCTGAGCCAGCATGTGATGTGAGGCTGAGGCGTCCGCTCCGCGCTGGGCCACGGCAGCATCCTCCTCCTCCTGGACCCACCCCGTCGACTCCACCGGCACGGACTCTGAAATTAAAAGACATGAGTGTTTCGTTCTTGTCAATGGCAAAATAATGTATTTGTGGCGCACCCGTCACCGTTTACACCGTGCAGCCCTCCTGTCGCACCCGTGAGGTCAGCAGAGGTCAGCAGCGGGGAGGCCCAGTGGTGGGCGCGCCGCCGCGCCGTCTAAAGGCCGTCAGGAGCCCAGGGACCACCCCCAGGGTAGAGTGGCACTTATAATACGAATTGTGGAAATATGAAAGTCTTAGGTTTGGGGTTTCATTGTTATGGTCCAAAAACCTTAAGTCTAAAGCGGCAAGTCGCTGGGACAATTAGAAGTGCCCCCTCAATTCTGACCAAAAAGTACGATTTTGACGTTTTCCCTTCAGTTTTACGTGTTCTGCCATTTCCGTGCCTGACCTCCGATCTCGTCGGTCGAAACGGGGTTCGATAGCCCTGGGAAAGGAGAACAAAACTCCGAAGTCGACCCGTTGTGGCTCAAATAGTTCCGGAGATATGGCCGATAAACGATTTCACTGATTTAGGAAATTGAGTAAAAATGACCAAATTTCACTCCGGGGCCCCTCTGGGGTCCCCGGGTGGTCGTAAAATTCTGATTATAAGATCTCCCGAAGTAAAAAGGTATGAGGAATCCGAATCCGACCGCGAAACGGATGTATTTCAACGCGTTATATCTGAAACAGGGTCGAAAAGTGAACTAAAGATGGTAGGAGCAAATTCTTCGGCGCTAGGATGGCTCATCTCGCCCCACGGCCTCAAATCGTCTTTAGTGTAAGGAAGTCAAATAAAGTACTTACCGGGGTCAACACTCCTGCAAAGCCGCTACACTGTGCGACGAATAGTTCCAGAGATATGGTCAAATAGAGAGAGTCCTCAGACTGTATTAAGACATTTTCACCTCAAAGTGGTAAAAATCGTGTATATGGCCATATCTCTGGAACTATTCGACGCACAGTGTAGCGGCTTTGCACGAGTGTTGACCCTGGTAAGTACTTTATTTGACTTCCTGACATTGAAGGCGATTTGAGGCCGTGGGGCGAGATGAGCCATCCTAGCGCCGAAGAATTTGCTCCTACCATCTTTAGTTCACTTTTCGACCCTGTTTCAGATATAACGCGTTGAAATACATCCGTTTCGCGGTCGGATTCGGATTCCTCATACCTTTTTACTTCGGGAGATCTTATAATCAGAATTTTACGACCACCCGGGGACCCCAGAGGGGCCCCGGAGTGAAATTTGGTCATTTTTACTCAATTTCCTAAATCAGTGAAATCGTTTATCGGCCATATCTCCGGAACTATTTGAGCCACAACGGGTCGACTTCGGAGTTTTGTTCTCCTTTCCCAGGGCTATCGAACCCCGTTTCGACCGACGAGATCGGAGGTCAGGCACGGAAATGGCAGAACACGTAAAACTGAAGGGAAAACGTCAAAATCGTACTTTTTGGTCAGAATTGAGGGGGCACTTCTAATTGTCCCAGCGACTTGCCGCTTTAGACTTAAGGTTTTTGGACCATAACAATGAAACCCCAAACCTAAGACTTTCATATTTCCACAATTCGTATTATAAGTGCCACTCTACCCCCAGGGTTGTAAATTTCGCGTAAAAACGGGGAAATACTCTTGCAGGACGCAATCCCCTCCCCTCGGGTCAAGGCCAGGGTGCGACGCACCCACACGCCGCGCCGCCCGCGACACGGCCGGGCGGTGAAGTGTCGCTGGAGGGTCGCGGGCGGGGCTGAGTGAGGTCGAGTGAAGTTACAAGTAGTGAAGTGCATACTCACCTCGCAGGGCAGGGCGGGCAGAGCGCTGAGCTGCGCCACTCGTCCTTCAGTCGGCACCGCGACCTCCATCCAGGATCGGGGCCTCCATCGCCTCGAGCAGCGCGCGACCAGGCCTCCTCCTCCTCCTGGCGCTCCCTGAAAACAAGGTTGTTTGTCACGTCTGATCGAGATGATGTTTGTGAAGTAGAGAGAGATAAAAGGAGAAGGGGCG